GAATGCTTTCCTATGGACTGACTGAATGCGCGCGCGGTTCTTGCCGCACATGCGCATTCAGCCGAAGAGGGAGGAGAGTCCCCAGCGTCGAGGGAGCCCGGCGCTGGAGAAAGGTAAGTGTTTAACCCCTTCCTCCAACTTCAGCCCGGTGGGAGGGGGGCTATGAGAGTGGGGGCACCCTCAGGGCACTATATTGCCAGGAAAATGAGTTTGTTTTCCTGGCACTATAGTGGTCCTTTAAGGACCAGAACAATACATATATTGTACACAAACCACAATATAAAAGTCAGATTATTGTTTTAAGATTTAATAGTTGTATATAACTAGTTCATTAAACAAAAAATCTTACTTAAATTGAATCATTTGGGTGTCCTCGTTCATTTTGTGTTTCCTTGTCTATTACGAAGCACGAGTTACAAGGAGCGCATTACTGAGTACATTTGCATGTTTGATATACTGTGACTGTATGTTTAATGTGGATTTTCATTAGGAGTCAGTCCAAGAAATAGCACAGTAAACATACAGCGTATAGTAAGTTAGTTACAGTTGAAGAAAACCAGAGCCAGCTAAACAAAGCATTCATTCAAATACACTTCTCATTTCCTCGGCTATAACCGAATCAAAAAGGTTTACAGTCAAAGCTGGAAAACCATCAATCTTAATCTCACTCTCCTTATTTTGTTTTTAAATAGGTTTAAAATTAGTATTTTACAAATTAGATGCCCCTGCTTATTAATCTGCATTATTACAATTTACATACAGCCATTTAATTGGCAATATTTGCTAAAGCTTGAGGCATTGTTTAGCTATATTTTTATATTCAGATATATTTATTTGTTATGCAGAATATGCCCCTTAGTTACATGTGCACTAAGGAACTCATATTTTAGAAAATATCGTATTATTTAAATCCTAACTTATCCGTTATCTAACCACCCACCTACGTATACTTACCCTAAAATGAAAAGAATCCATAAAATAGAAATAAAAACAAACAGAAGCCCCCTCATAATATAAAATATTGTAAAAATAACCGTACTACTGCAGGGATATTCCTGATCATTGTATAGTAGTGTGGAAGTAGACAAAAATATTACCAGGTTCAATAAAAAGCGTTTAATTGACCATTACAATACACAGAGATATCTCATGGAGATTGGCAAGAAGCAATCTAACATCATGTTACAATTCCTCATATTTTATACATATGACCCGGAACTGGCCTTGCGTTTAGCTTGAATCAGAACTCCAAATATGGTCTTATTTCCTATTAGCTAAATTCTAGCATAACTGACAAATTTAAGGTTCAAAAGTTTAAGCATCCCATGATCTTTCTAACAGATGACTTGACCACAGTCATGTGTCTTACTTCGCTAAAATATCGCTTGTCTATGATAAAAGTTAACACATATAAGACTTCCTCTTTCACAACTTAAGCACACATTTCACCTTTCCCCCCTGGCAACATCTGACAAGACACGCTTTCAAAATAACCTTTCCTTTTGCAATCCAAAAAACAGTCCAGACATCCATTAATAAATTGTAGCAATAAAACATAGTTTCTTCTTATTTCTTAGAGTAAATATTCTTCTTTGATTATATTTTAAGATGATGAATAAACAGCAAAATGGCTGACAGCATGTCAGTAGCAGGTTACATATGTTCACAGTCCTCCCTTTGGTGCTAGGACTTTCACCACAAAAAGCTCCGTGCAACACTTCCATGTTTAGCGAAGGTCATTCAGTGAGCTAGTGATTTTAAACAGCACTTGCAGGACTTTCCATATAGATGCGCACACGATCAATATCTTCAGAGAAAGCATGTCTGTATTCCAAGTCGGTATGAGTTGTGACCGGATAGGAGACATTTCAACATTCGAAATTGTGCCAGGGGGAGATGAAGGTGAACAGCTCTTGAGGATTAATCGGCATGAACACTTTAGGACATTCACTGCAACATATATAAACACAAGCATCAATACTACTAAAATAACTCCAATGAGAATACGTTTTCCCATTGTTCCCAACCAATTAGTTAAACCAAACTCCAGTCAAAACCCCAATTTAAACCTCCCGAAGAAGTATCGTGAACTTCTCTAAGTTTAATTTAATTCTACATCTGTATGAATCTGACCAGTAACATTATATATCTTTAAACAACATCTTGTTTTTATTAGTGCACAAACACCACCTTTGGAGGCCAACAAATAATCTAGGGCAAACCTATTTTGCATAATCATAGCTGAAGCTTGTTCCTGTTCCTGCAGACAATTTTTCAATAGCATCTCCTGTATTATTAAAAGCTTCATCTAGTATATCTCCTAACAAGTTTAATTTGTACATTAATTCAATAACCCCCCATGTAGGTACAAAACCTGCAAATAGCCTATCTTCTTCACCAGATTTTACAGTTCTTTCGGTTTTATCTTTTTTGGAACTAATAATCTTTCTTTTATTCCTCACCCTTCCTTCAGGCAAATTTTCATGAAGGGTTAAAGCTGGGATAATATTACCTAGATAACAAGTTTCCACCCAATTACATGGAAGTCTTTTTACCGCCCAACTACCACATAAATAGTAAACCCCAAATGGAAGATGGATATCAATAACACGAGAATCTGAGCAGTCAAAAATAGGTTGATTAATATAGGGCAGTAGCATAAAAAGATTGGAAGTTTGAGTATTAAAGTAGGCCCATCTCAAAATAGTGACATTTAAATGTTCATTCTGGTCATAATTATTATCCATGATTTCTACCTCAGAAGTCAAATTTACCCATACATGATTAGTATTCACCGGGATTCTATCCTTGATGGGACATTTTGTCAAAATATCTTCTAATAAGGGTTTCCAACAAAAAGCTTTCAATCTACCAGTACAAGGGGCAGAATTAGTTTCAGACCCACATAGATTATAAAGGACATTGTTTTCAAAAATAACAATAGCATTGCTTATAGGCTTAACAATCTTGTCAGGACTTTTCTGATCCCTGTTAGAAATTACTACTGCTCTGCTAGTAATAGGATATGTTAAATGAACCTTAGCAGGTTCGCCAGATTTGGATACTTCATTCTGAATAAATCCAACAAACCCCGTTTTATTTGCTCTTATTTTCTCACAAAGACCCATAAAGATTCCATAGACCATGGCACCCCCACAAAAGGATAACCATAGTTCATGGAATGCGGAACAAACCCACAAACCCAACAATGATTACTTTTGTTTGACAATTTATACAATTCAGTAGTTGTTTTAACAAAATGATTATCTATCTCCCATGAAGAAAAATACTTGGCTCCCTGGCCCAAGCTACACGTGTATTAAAGAAAAAAAAAAGAGGAGCTAACGTAGTGTAGAGGATGAAAAATAAAAAAATGTCATAATGACAATCATTAAGGACAATATAAGTTTAACCAGTTTGAGATTCATGAAGAAAAACAGTAGAGTTGACTTTGGATTAGAAAGATACTCCCCTTAAAAAGTACCCCTTTTTAGAAGGGAAAACGGCTTCCTTAGTCCTCTATTCTTCTTCCAGTGAAAAAATCTTTTTCAGCGCTTGTCAGTTTACAATGGGAAATGTGGATCCAAGATTTAACCCCTGCGACTTTAACAGCTGAATTAGTGGTTAATAACACTTGACAAGGTCCTTTCCACCTTGGTTGCAACGCGTGCTTTCGTGAATGATCTTTTATCATAACATAATCTCCAGGAGCGATGGCATGCAAAGGTTGGTATTCACTTGTTCGCTGTACAGCTTTTACCTGCATATAGAGAGACTAATCGTTTTGTTAGCTACATGCAATACGTCATTACTAAATCATCATTTATCTCATGAGAATAACATTTTATAGGTACCCCTCCTGTGAACATTGGTCTTCCCATTAGAATTTCATGAGGGGATAACCCTGCTTTCAAACTAGAGAGAATCTCATAGACATTAAGGCAAGAGGAAGTGCATTAAGCCACTTTAACTTTCTCTGCTGCAATTTTTGCAATTTTGTTTTTTAATGTTCCATTGGCCCTTTCTACTGCTCCTTCTGACTGAGGATGATGAGAGCAATGTAAATGATAAGGGATTTGCTAAATTTTTGCTATCTGTTGCACTACTTTTCCTGTGAAATGTGTTCCCTGATCTGAGTAAATGTGCCGAGGCAATCCATAGCTGGGTATAAATTCTTGTAACAATTTCTTAAACATTGTAGACATATCCGCATGGCAACAAGGATAAGCCTCAATCCAACCTGAGAATGTATCTAATATTACTAGCACATACCGGTACTGCATTACCTTTGGTAATTCAATGAAATCCATTTGTAAATTTACAAATGGACCTCATGAACAGGGAGGATGATTTAGGTCTCTGACCTGCATTGTATTGTAAACAAATAACACATGAAGAACACACCAGTGCCAATACAGATTCTAGGCCCAGCCTTGACCATTCAGAATTAAACAATGATGGCAATGCTGGTCTTCCACTAAATATACACTCTCCCCACCAAAATCACTTACTTCTTCTTCCCTCAGTATCACATACAATTCATTTACTTTCAAATGTACCATAGGTTCTGGACCTTGGGTCACTGGTACACTAACAATACATATTCAGACCCCAATCTTCCTCTACATCTAGTCTGTCTTTTTCTTCTAATTGCTTTCTTGTCCCCTTTACCTCCTTGCAATCTGTTGCTATATGACCATATCCATCACAATTGAAACATTTGATAAATGTTCTTACATTATTCTGTGGGGGTCTTCTGGCTGTGTTTTGTCTTGGCTGATGTGCATAATATCTAACAGGCATTTGTTCAGCTTGTAGCATTATGTGCTCAGCTTTTGCATTTTCCTTGATTTGAATAGCTTGTCAAATTTCTGATGCTGCACGTAATACAATATTAAGTGATTTATCCCGCCATCCCAGTAAGGATAACATCAATTGTTTTTTTACTTTAGAATCCAAACCATTTACTAAGGTATTCACTATGAACGGCTTAATTGATTCAACCGTGATATCTTCAAAACTTCCAAAAACCTTAATTGCTTCCCCATATTCATAGTGGTTTTCTCCTTTCTTTTGCACTATGCTATGTATAGTCAATAGGCTGGGTAAAAACTGTTTTTACTTTGATGCTGAGGAATGCATACCAATTCTTAAGGACAACATCACTCCTCTCATCAGGGCAATTTTCCCATATGTGTGCAACTGCTTGTCCCCCCACCCCTGCAGGCCATGAAAAAGGTGACTCGTCATATCCTGCCACCCATTTAGTATGTTCTGTAGGGGTTAATACTGTCTCCATTAACTCATTAAGATCTTATGTTGTGGGGAAATAGCTGGCACACATTATTTTTAAATGTTTTACAAACCCATTTGGATCTAGAGGGGGCAGGAAATGATACCTGTAAAAATGCTATGTCTTGTGGGCTCCACGGTTGACAAATCCTCCGTGGTCTCCCATCATTATCCATCTGTCCCACTTCTCTAATAGGTAAAATCATAGCCTCACTCCCATCACTCTCAGGCAACACATTGCTACATCCTGATAAACCTGATAGTAACCACAGCATGATCAGCAAATCTTTTAGGCAGTCTAATATCCCTCTCAGGTCTACCACCTCAATGCAACATGGCTGAGGCACCAGCTAAATTTTGGGGTACAAGCTGTGGTGCATCATTCATCTGCTGAGGGGAGGTGACCCAAAGAGGGATTCATAATCTCATGATTAATCAAAAAAATCCTCATCATCATTATAAGGCGGAGGATTTTTAACATTTCTTTTTAAATTGTACAGTGAGGGATACAAACAGGCAACACCAGTACCCTCTCCTTTACGTGCCCCTCCTGTTGCACCAGACTGGGGGGAACATTCTTGCTTTTTCTTTTCAATTTCCTCATGCCATAACATATATGCAGACCATTCCAGTTTTGAAAGACTTTTTCCATTTAACAACATTGTTCTTAAACTTAACAACACCCAAGTGTCTAATGACCCCACCACTGGCCATGGATTTATATTATTCTTAGTTAACTTTGCCCATTTCTTTGAATACATAATATTTGAAGGGCCATATTTCTGTTTCATTAAATAAACTGGGGAATCACTGGGTATACTATCCCCATGATCAAGCTGCTTGCCATTATTCAACCCCATTTCTGTTACTTGTACGTTGAAACACCAAATGTATACACTCACTGTATCACCTTTTGAGAGATCGAAAGGTCACAATTTTCAGTCTGTATACTGACTGACAACTGGAGTTTACACAAAAATCTCTTCTCAAATGATGTTACAGTTTATCAAACTTTAAACCATATACACACAGTTATACAATTTTAACACAATACATCTTACTCAAGTGCTATGTTTAACCTATGAGTTTAAACAGTTAATACAAGACAACTTAATTTCACCTTGCTACGTTTAGACTGGGTGAAATTAAGACACTAAAACAAAATAATCTAATCTCGCTTTGCTACGTTTAGACTTGGGAGATTAGATTCATGTGGCTAACCTCAACATTTAGCCAATTAATACAAGACAACTTAACTTCACCTTGCTACGTTTAGACTGGGTGAAATTAAGACACTAAAACAAAATAATCTAATCTCGCTTTGCTACGTTTAGACTTGGGAGATTAGATTCATGTGGCTAACCTCAACATTTAGCCACAATCACATGACAGGGATACATCATATCAAAGAGACTCTCACCAACAGAGCTACGTTTAGACTTCTGAAGGCCCACCAAACCCCTATTGGGTCTGCGAAGTTTAGTCACTTAAGTCTTCCTAGGGGACTACCTGTCAGTGCTACCACTGATTCTAGAATCACTCAGACATAGACACTAATACTGCAGTATATTTTACAACATAGACATAAATAGTAACGTTACAAATGGTCAATAAAAGGCTAAGAAATCAGGTCACACAGACTAGCATTTACCTGCACCGTTCTTTGTTTCATGGACACTCAAAAATTACACTAATGCCATGTTTTATAAATGGTATGGCTTACCTTTTATATGACCGGTCTGTTTGAGTGCCCACGAAATGGTTGGCAGGTGCAGGTGTTCCGCTGGTGTCTGTGGTATTCTGATCCCGGACAAAGAGCCCCCAACTGTGGAAGTAGACAAAAATATTACCAGGTTCAATAAAAAGCGTTTAATTGACCATTACAATACACAGAGATATCTCATGGAGATTGGCAAGAAGCAATCTAACATCATGTTACAATTCCTCATATTTTATACATATGACCCGGAACTGGCCTTGCGTTTAGCTTGAATCAGAACTCCAAATATGGTCTTATTTCCTATTAGCTAAATTCTAGCATAACTGACAAATTTAAGGTTCAAAAGTTTAAGCATCCCATGATCTTTCTAACAGATGACTTGACCACAGTCATGTGTCTTACTTCGCTAAAATATCGCTTGTCTATGATAAAAGTTAACACATATAAGACTTCCTCTTTCACAACTTAAGCACACATTTCACCTTTCCCCCCCTGGCAACATCTGACAAGACACGCTTTCAAAATAACCTTTCCTTTTGCAATCCAAAAAACAGTCCAGACATCCATTAATAAATTGTAGCAATAAAACATAGTTTCTTCTTATTTCTTAGAGTAAATATTCTTCTTTGATTATATTTTAAGATGATGAATAAACAGCAAAATGGCTGACAGCATGTCAGTAGCAGGTTACATATGTTCACAGTAGTGAAGGACTAGAATGAATGCAGTGATTCAATGTACATTTTATAAACAAACACAGTTTTCTAATGCAATAATGTCATAGGTCCTAATTATTACATATTAGTATATCTTCATGGATCCGTAATAAGTTATATGGGGTGGACAGAAAAACAAAACAAAACAATAAACCATTCACATGGTGGTTACAAATCAAGATGCTCTGTGTTGTGTCCACAAATATACAGCTGTTCCATCACCATCGTCTCAGATGAAGTATTGTTATAGACTGGACGGCAGCTTCCAATCAGATTGTTTTATTCGTTGCCATACTGTATCAACTAATGCTAAGCATTCTAGAATGAATTCTTTGTGTTATGCCTTTCTCTTCCAACATCACATTTTTAGTGGAGTAAAATCCATTCTAAAATAAACCAACATGGCGGCACTGTGCAAAATGGCTCTCGCTGGACCCTGTTCATCCCTGCACTCTTAATATAGAATTTTCTATGGGTGACATAGTTCTTAGACTACAATGTTCTAGAGACATACACAACAAAAAATGAATAATTACAAAGATGCTTCATCATTTACAGGCATCCACAGTGTATAATAGTAACACAATACATGTAACATGTATTTAGGGGTTGCTAATCGATATCCATTTACTGACCTAAATATTTTCTCACTCGTCACACGAAGAGTTTAAGGGATATTATAGTCACCAAAACAACTGCAGCTTAATGTCTGGTGTCTGTATCATGTCCATGTACGCTTTTTAATGCTGCCTAGTAACATCTCTAGTGCCAAGCACTTAGATAATCACTCGACGTGCTTCCTGGAACTTTCAGTGTCTCCATACTGAACGCTCCCCATAGAGACGCAGTGATTCAATGTATCTCTATGAGGAGATGCTGATTGGTACATGTGCAATAGCTTCCCATTGCTTGCCTATAGTAAAACATTGGATTGCTTGAGATCGTCAAATTTAACCCCTTAAGGACCAAACTTCTGGAATAAAAGGGAATCATGACATGTTACACATGTCATGTGTCCTTAAGGGGTTAATGATCTCAGCTAAGGAGACAGAGACAGTCATGATGAGATTGGCGTGGAGCTGGAATAAAGGCAGGAGGGTAGGGCCACTACATTGTCATCCATTGTCAGGAAACTGTACTGTGTTCTTTAAACCAGGCATATTTATTCTGTATCTAAATGAGACACAAGGGATGTAAAAAGGGTTAATAAATCTGGACACATTCCATATATGCAGAGGCGTAACTAGAAACCACAGGGGCCCCGGTACAAAAATTGCCCTGGGCCCCCCCATACATCTACCCCCTACCCCATACATGTCCTCCCCCCCACATACACACACATACAGATGCGCATACACACACATGCAAACACACACACATACACACAGAGACCCATACATACAGACACACATACAGACACACATACACACATACATGTAGAGACACACACACAAACACACAGAGACCCATACATACAGACACACATACAGACACACATACACACATACATGTAGAGACACACACACAAACACACACAGACACACATAGAGAGACACATACATACAGACACATACACATAGAGACATACATACAAACACACATACACTAACACACACACACACACATGCAAAATGTTTGTCACTCTCCTGTTTCCTACATTTTAGATGCAGGAGGGTGACTTCCCTGGTGTTCCCACTCTGCCTCCCTCATCTCTTCCTCCTGCGCGGCTCCTGGTGGTTACTGGGAGGAAGTGACGGGGCAGTCACTTCCTCCTTGTGCTCTGACCTCATCACAGGGGGCCTGGTCGCGCTATTAAAGCGCCACACCGCTGACCTGGCCCCCTGGATATTCATTGCCATTGGGTGGCCCTAACAGCATGAGTCCCTTAACGTGCGGCCCCGGCGGATCTACCGCGCCACCAGGGCCGCAACACATAGCGGCAGGCACCCGGTTGCAGGAGTCTGGGCCCCCTGGAGTGACAGGCCCGGTCGCAGCTGTGACTGCGGTAGTTCTGTCACTGCATATATGGTGTAGCTAAACTTAGGAAAGAAGATATATTGTGCTTAAATCTGAAATTCACTTTAAATTCTCACTTTAGTGAGTTACTCTGTTAGACTTGTTTTGGCCAGGGATGGGTTAATGCGCTCTTTGTAAAATGTTATGAAGCCCCGCTCCTCTTACAGAGTCAGTGAACACGTATGATATCAGTAGCCTTCTCTAGCACTCTTTATTGATCAATATCTGACATCCAGTGTTTCAATTAGTAACAGCATCACAGACATTGAGAGGTTACGGGTCTAAGTGCCTCAATGGTGAATTATATTTGTCTTCAGATTCTAGAAGAATAAATATCAGGGGTACCAACTCAACAAAATAAATCAATATACAAAAATTAAGTGGTTTAAATGCAAAGGACTTTTTTATTGCACTGGAGAGCTTTAGTTTGTTTTTAAATCACGCTTTATAAAGGGTAAAGTTTTTGCAAAAATAGGTTTACTTGCTTTTTGATTTTTAGTTGTTCCTGTCTGAAGATTAGTTATTTCTACCTGTAATAGTTTGGGAGCACAATGTAACCAGCCTGTAACAATGCCTGCAGTCTAAGGTGTAACTAGGAGGACGAGGAGCGAATAAATTGCTTACTTGATTTTTAAATCCCACCCCTGTGTTCCATTCTTCCCGGAGCACAGTGACAAGCGGTTATGTTAAATATAGTGGAACACAGTGGTGAGGGTTTAAAGCAGGCTTCCCCAAACTCCGGCCCTCCAGATGTTGCTGAACTACAACTCCCATGATTCTATGGATGAAATAGATAGGCTGAGAATCATGGGAGCTGTAGTTCAGCAACATCTGGAGGGCCGGAGTTTGGGGAAGCCTGTTTTAAAGTAAACCTGTTCTGAAAAAACAACTTACCTAATATGGCTCCCATATACATTGAATACACCATAGATCACCGAGATACATGACATATTCAATGTAAAATACAGAGATTTACGCACCTTTCCTCCGTTCCAACACAATCTTCAAGCTGCGTGGTTGTTTCTCTTATGAAACACCCACCTCTGGACCATCCTCCGCTACGCCTCCTGTCTTGTTTGATTTGCCTTGCTTGGGGACACATGTATTTTTAAATAGGTTATTCTCCTAATCTATACATTTGGTAGCAAAACTGTTCCTTTTGAAAGGTTATCCATTTATCACTTCCACCTACACCAAGATGTCCAACGCAGT